ATGGCAAAAATTAAACCTGAAGGACCTTAGTTCCTCTGAGCCTCGTTATCCCCACTTTACAGATGAGGGAACTGAGGCCCAAAGAGGTTAAACAGCCTGCCTAAAGTTCACTTTTGTTTGTTTTATTTGGGGTTTTGTTTTGGTGTTTTGGTTTTTGTTTGTTTTTGACGGCTGGCTGGTTAGGGGATCTGAACCCTTGACCTTGGTGCTATAACACTGCACTCTAACCAGCTGAACTAACTAGCCAGCTCTGTTCTGTTTTGTTATTTGAGTGTTTTATTGTTATTTTAACTGTACCTATATGTTACATACAGTCATGCGTTGCCTAATGATGGGGATGCATTCTGAGAAATGTGTTGTTAGGCAGTTTTGTTGTGCGAACGTCACAGAGTGTATGTACACAAATCTAGATGAATAGCCTGCTATACGCCTGCATTACATGGTATAGCCTGTTGGGCCTGTGTGCGTAACGCATTGCGCTATGACGTTACGATGGATGTGATGTCAGTAGGCAATAGGAAGTTTTCGGCTCCGTCATAATCTTAGGGGATCCCCACCATATGATGTAGTCCACCACTGACCAAAATATTGTTATGGGGTGCAGGACTGTACAGTCTTGTTTACAGAATATATTTCACAATTTAAAAGCCGAACTAAAATTAGCCATGGTCATATCCTTGGGTGGGGGGTTAATGCACAGGCTTCAGAGACACCTTGACGAGAGCTGGAATCCCTACTCTCTACCCCTTATTGAGCCAGTCTCCCTGGCCTCAGTTTCCTTGTGGTAAGAGGGATGATGAGGTGAGGATCACATGAGAGTGTGCATAATGATAACAGCAGACACACTCCTCATGTGCCAGGCATAACCCTCGTCAGCATCACAGCAGCCTGATGAGATGGGAGCTGTTATTACCCATCTTACCCTCGGTCATACTGCTAGTGAGTGGCACAGCGGGTATTGGGATCCAGGCGGGCTGGTTTTGTTGTCTGTGTTCTTTGTGCCACAATATGAGCCCCAGCCGCATACAGGAGGACTGGGATCACTCTAAGGTCCACTGTTCCCACTTTGAGATCAGTGCAGAGGTGGGTGTAGAGCTAAGGTCAGGCTGTACTGCTCAGAGTGGCCAGAATCTCCTCATGCTGAGGGTGTCATCATTAGAGCCACCACTCCCATCTCTTCCCATGCTGCAGGATGCCCTCTGAGGAAAGAGACAGTAAGACCAGACAGACCGGGAAAGCCCTGAGAGTGAGTGGAGAGCAGGCCAGACGGGGAGTAAGGGCTCTGCCCAACGCTGGACCACCAGACTGAGGACCAAATCTTTACCTGCAAAACCCTGGACGGGCCTGCCCTGGGGCTCATTTCTGCCCCACCCCTGTCTCAATCTCAATGTAGCCTCAGCTGGGGAGGGGGCAGGGTAGAGAGTGGGGTTATGACACAAGGTCTCAAAGTGCTGGAAAAAGTCAAAGTTGGGGGGCTCTCCACACACCAACAGATCCAAGCCTTATTGTAAAGATGGGGAAACTGAGACCCAGGGAGAGGAGTGGTTCTGTCCAAGTCACACAGCCAGTCCATGCTGGGCCTGGGACAGGGAGAATGGGAGAGAAGCAAAAGCTTCCACAGCGTATGGGAGCTGCACAGATGTGTCTACAGGAGTGTGCGTGTGACAGCAAAGCCAAGAGCGGGGACCCACAATGTGCTATGATGCTCACCCCACCCCATCTTGCTGCTTCCTTCCTTCTTGCAGTAGGACCTGCCTCTCTCCTCCAGAGATTTCCCTCACCTTTGCCCCAACCCTTGACCTTACCTCTTCCCTGGGCCTGGCCTCAGCCCATCCCCCCAACCCCCAACCCCATTTACTTGTCTGACCTCATCTTCTTCTACTCCCCCCTCCCTCTTTCCATTCCAGCATGGTGGCCCCTCCATGCTCCCACCTCAGGGCCTTTGCACTAGCTCTTCCTTCAGCCTGGCATGCTCTTCCTCCAGATGTCCACAAGGCTCACTCCCTTAGCCCTTCAGGTCTTTATCCAAAGTCACCTTCTCAGTGAAGCTTTCTGCTCTTCACACCTCCCCACACTTCCTGCCCCCTTTCCTGCTTTTCCTCCTCAGCAGCTGTCACTAACACACCTCAGAATGAATTTTGCACAGCATGTTAGCTCCGTGAGAATAAAAACTTGTTTATCTTCCTCATGCCTACATTCTTGACACTAGAATGGTGTCCGGCACATTGTTCACTCTCAACCAGTGTCTGTGGAGAGAATGAAAAGGCTTGGTCTGTGACTGGAGTGGGTCCAGAACCTGCAAGGTGTTATGGGCAATGGGACTAGTGCAGGTCTGTGGCAGCCCACTGGCTGCCCTGCCTCCAGGGCCACCTCCCAGGGACGTGAGGATGCCAGGTGGCTGAAGTGTTCATGAGGGGCAGAGGAGGGTAGGAACCAGAATCCTGGGGCCCGTCTATGACTTTCTCAGCTGTGATTCAGGCCTTGGAGTCTTGCTCTGGAATGCTGGGAATGAGAAAGGGCACCTCCTCGTGCTCACAAGGCCACTGAGGCTGAGATAGGGGAAGGGGCTTGCCCAAGGTCACAGAGGGAAGCCACTGCACAGCCAGCTGGGGACTTCCAGCTGTCCTTCCCTGGTCACTCCCAGTGCTGGTTCCCCTGGCTCAGCTCCTGCCCACATGGGCCATCAGACATACATCATATATGTTATCAAGCACAGCCATATAACAAACCCGTAAGTTCACCCCAACCCCGGAACTAGGAAACTATTAATAGTTTTACACCTACCACTGCGCTCCTACCCATCCCTGTCTCCGTAAAGGGATCATCCTTTTAAAAAAAAAAGTTTTATTACATACATATATTTATGCCCAAAGAATATATTACTTTTTGCTTGTTTTTCTGCTGTAAAACTGGTGTCATACTGTATATAGTCTACTGTATTGCATTTTTTACCTCCAAAATTTTTCAGTATTGTTGCAGGTTCCTGTTGTACCTTAATTTTCACTGTTGTATCATGTTATCATGTGTGATTGTATAGTAGTGTATGTGTCTGCTCTCCTGTTAGTGGACATTTGGGTTGTTTCTGATGTCTCCTGAGCACCCGTACCTTGCATCCTGCTCCCTGAACCTCCTCCTCCTCTCACCGTTCCACAGCCCAGCTACCCACAAACCTACGACTTCCCAAAACTCTGTCTTCAGCTCCCTTCTGAGCTCCAGACCATATAAAAGGCATACCCCCAAGTGCTTAGTGAGCACTTACTCTGTACCAGGCACTATTCTCAGCATTTAACATTTTAGTGCATTTAATATTCACAGCAACAAAAATGGTAGATAATATTCTTATCCCTATTTCACAAATTAGAAGACCAAGGCCCGGAGAGGTTAATTTACTTGCCCACCTCTCACCCTTCACATCCCATAAGCAGCTCACACTGAACATGTCCGGGACACAACCTATCATCTTCCTCTCCCACCCAGTTCCTCATTCATGCTCCACTCTCAGTGGTGACATGTCCAAACCCCCAGACCCAAGCCAGGAACTAGATGTCATCCCTGACTGCTCCCTCTCCCTCACCCACTCCTTCATCCAAACCAAGCCCAAGTCCTGCCTCTTGTCCCTCCAAGATATTCATCACATCCTGCCTCTCCTTGCCACACCCACAGTGCTGACCCACTAGGTGCCTGGCTGCTCCTCCTGGATCACTGTCTCTCACCACACTCTGTAGGCCCATCTCCCCTGTTTCCAGCATCCTGTATACTGTAGTTCATGTGGGCTTTCTAAAACTCATCTCACCATGTCCCTCACCTCCAGAAGGAAGCCCAGCCTGCTCTGCCCCGTCCCCTCAAACTGTGAAGTGCAGCTCACTCCCATCCCCAAAAAGGACACCCCCTAATCCCCACTCTGCTCTTTTCCCTTCCTCTGGCTGTGAGCCCCACTCTGAGCTCTACAGACTCCAAGCATCCCATCCTTCACCACTGAGCTCCTTCCTCATAATCACCCATTCCCCATTAGACTGCATTCCTCAAAGGCAGACCCAGCCTCATCCACGGTGCATCCCCAATGCCCAGGCAGGGCCTGCACACAGTAGGTGCTCAATAATTGTTGAAAGGCTAAATGCATGAGCGATGAGGCATCATGGGTGGTGCTGCCTTCTGGGTCCCAGAAGCAGGATGATTCCTACCTGGCCCCTGGTCAGCGGATCCTGCTCCCCCACCCCATCCCCGCAACCTCTGCCCTGTTCCTCTTGAGCCCCGTGAGGCCTTTTCTGATCTCTTCACCTTTTGTAAGGATTTCCCTCTTTGTATCTTCCTTTTCAACTCCGGAATTCCTTCATGTGGGAGAGCTCTGGCACCAGGAAGAAGGAAGAGGGGGCAAACCCTTTACCTGCTTTTAATCTATATGAAGCATCCTCAAGGGAATGAAAATTGATTCTTGGAAGGGGTGGTGAAAAAAAAAATCTTACTTTTTTAATGTATAAAGCACAGATGTGCATACAATACATAGATAGTATATCTGTGCTACTAAAATATGTGATTAAGAAAAAAATGTATAAAAGGCTGCTGAGGAGGGCACTAATGAAAAGAAGGTGGAGAAATTCTGATCTACACTCTTGGGCCTTGCCTTGTCTGGTCCAAGAACTGGCCAGAACTGAGGGAAAGGAAGAACCAGGGGAGAGTCTAGAGTCTCATCTCAGGGCACCCTTAAGGTATCCCCAAAGCTGGACCCTACCAGCTAGCTCTGCTCCTTTTCCCCAAACTACCCTATTCCTCCCCATGCCTGAAAGTCCACCGTTTTGCATCTGGCATCCTTTCATCTCCCCCTGTTCCTTCTGAGGCTGCAGGTTGGTTCTTCCCCATTCTCCCCCAGGGGTACCCCAGCTCCCAGGGCTCGAATGAGTTGAGTCTTCTCAGCTGTGTGCTCCAACCTTGGGCTAAGGTATACCCTGGGGCTCCTGGAAGAACCCAAGAGGGAAGCCCATCACAAGAGGCAAGGATGCTGCTGTGGGACAAGCTTTTCTTTATTGGGGTAGAATGGGGTCACAAAGAATCTCTTCTTAGAAGTGCTCTAGGGCTATGGAGTCATTTAAGGGTGGGACAGGCTGGACTGAAGTTCTGATGTCAAGGGTAACAGAGACGGGGGTGATGGGATGGCTCATGGATGGTTGAGGACCGGTCTTGGGTAATACAGTTATCCTGTGGGTTTCATGCACCACCGGGTTTGTCAGTCTCTGGGGCTTCCGTGGGATATTGGAACCAATGAAGACCAGGTAGACGATGCCACCTATGTAGGCACCCAGGAGGGGCGCCACCACTGGCACCCACCACCAGTTCTCCCCGGCCCTGCAGGAAAGAGGTGGAGGCCTACTGAGAGTCCAAAGCCCAGAGCAGCACCCACATCCACCTTGGACCAAGACAGGGTGAGCAGAAGAGTCACTACCATCCTGCCCCAGGAGATACCCCCAGCCTGGTGCCCCGGTCAGTCTGAGCCTGATTCAGGGACAGGGTTGAGGATCAGTCTGCTGGTCTGGGGAAACATCGGAACCCACTCCTGCTCCCCAGGCCTGGAGCTCTACAGGACTTCCCTGTGCTGCTAATCACATTGCACCCCCACCCCTCCGTGTGAAGGAGACTCACCAAAACCTTGCAGGAGTGGGGTCTGGGCAGGGGCAATACCTGAAGACCTGTTTGCCCCATCCATCTACAGGACTTCCCTGTGCTGCTAATCACATTGCACCCCCACCCCTCCGTGTGAAGGAGACCCACCAAAAACTTGCAGGAGTGGGGTCTGGGCAGGGGCAATACCTGAAGACCTGTTTGCCCCATCCGGCAATGAAGGTGAAGAAGCGGGGAGGCAGGTCCCGGGATGGGTTAACAGCATATCCTGAGTTCATGCCTAGGGACACCCCAATGATGACCACAAGGATGCCAATCACCAAGGCCTGCATCCCTTGCAGTGCTGGGTTGTTCTCCTTGTCCGTGATGGCAAAGATACACAGCTGGAGTATCCCCGTCAATAACATCTGGGGAACAGACACCACGACAGCCCATCCAGGGCCCCTAGCCAAGCCACAGGGCTTCAGCAGTGCCCCAAATCCAAACCCACTGGCAGAGACATGTCTTGTACAGTCCCCATCCAGAGTTCTTATCCTCTCTATTGTGAGGGGCTCCCTGCTGGCTCCTTCCTAAGAGATGAAGGGTTTGGAGAGGGGCACCATCCCTGAACCACTGACCTCATCCAGGAAGCCCTGCCACAACGTCATATAGTCAGGAAGATAGGTGGCGAAAATGCCAGCGGTGGCTGTAGGACCAGTCACTGTCAGCTGTCCATTCGAGAAGTGGAAAATGGCCTCTGTAGAGATACAGATTGAGTGTGAACCTGCCCCCAGCTAAACCCCACTGGTGTCCCAGAAATGAGGCTGTAGGGTGGAGCATTGGGAGCCACCTCCAAGGCTTTTTCTTCCAGACACTTACAGACCAGGACACTGAGATCTGATCTGCTCATATTTCAGAGGAGGAGCCTGAGGCCAGAGGCAGACAACCCAGGGTAGAATACTTACTGTGGAAGAGACAGTAGATGGTGGCAGCAGCCATGAAGGAGCCCAGGAACTGAGCCAGCACATACACAGGAAATTTCTTCCAGGGCGTGCGGCCTAATGCACAGCTGGTGAAAGTTATGGCCGCATTCATGTGGGCCCCTACGGGGAGGCAGCAGGTGTGTCAGGGGAGTGAGAGCAGAAACAAACAGTAATTAATAATATTGAGAGTAACAACAGTAATAAACAATAATGGCTAGTGTTTACAGAGTGCATTCTCTGTGACAAGAGCTTTCTCATTTAACCTTGCACCAACCCCAGGAGGCAGAGACCATTATCTCCATTTCAATATTAAGGACAGTGAAGGACAGAGAAGGTAAATCACTTGCCTAAGATGACCCAGCTAGTAAAAATGGTGTGTCAAGAGGGCCCTTGAAGAGTCTGGGGCAGACACAGTCAGAGACAAGGGGTTCAGAGGTGTTCTCCTCCCTCCAGGTGGCCAGTAAGGGTGAGGCACCAGCCATGTCAAGAAGAGGCTGGCTAGAGGTGAGCAGGAAAGAGCCTGCTGAGGACACCTGGCACTGCCCGGTCAGGCAGGGCCTGGGTTCACTCACCAGAGATGTTGCCTGCCACATGCACTCCCATGGTGACTCCAAAGCCAAAACCCAAGTTGACACCGAGGAAGCTCCCGAATTTATTCTCTCCTAGAACCATATGAGCCACAGAACCGAGGCCAAACACCTGCGAGGGGAGGGCCTGTGAGGAGGTTGCCTGCCCACAAGCCCCACCTTCAGAGGAAGGCTCAGAGCTCAGTTCTCTCTCTCACCCCACGCTCTGGGCCTCCCTGCATTTCCCTTAAAGACCTGCCATACCCTCTTCCTCAAGAGCCTTCTGTCCTCACGACCTATACTCGCCTCCCTGCATTTCCCTTAAAGACCTGCCATACCCTCTTCCTCAAGAGCCTTCTGTCCTCATGACTCCCTTGCCCCTATCAAGACCTCTCAGACCTGAGCCAGTGAGAGCTGGGTAGTGTGGCAGAGTCTGAGGCTCCTACAACACACATTGGGGCACCTCGACCCAAAGCTCACCTGAAGTACAGAAGGACGGCAGGGCTGTGAGGAGGGGATGGCCAGTGTGGATTGCACCTCTCGGAGCATCTCACACTTCAGACTATCCTGAAGGAAGTTTCTTTTTTTGTGTGTGTGTGTCTTTTTCGTGACCGGTAAGGGGATCTCAACCCTTGGCTTGGTGTTGTCAGCACCACGCTCAGCCAGTGAGTGCACCGGCCATTCCTATGTAGGATCCGAACCCGTGGCGGGAGCGTGCACCACGGGCTCGGCCCGCTTAAGGAAGTTTCTTCAAGAAATCTCCAAACTCCATGCCTGGACTCTGCCAGGAGCCCCTTCCTGCCTCCTAATCACCCACCACCAGCCCAGGAAGCCAGTGGGGTTCTAACTCTTTTGCCCTCAGCTTCATTTCCGTTGCCCTCAGACATCATTCCCAAACTTCTTACTCTTGCCCATCTCCTGAGGTGACACTCCACCTTCACAGAGAGACTAGAGGCCTGAAGGTAGGCCTCACTCAACCTCAGTCTATATCCACCTTCCCCGTCAGCTCTGGTTCCTGTGCCCATCCTCTCCCTCTCCAGAGGTCTTCCTCTTGCCTGTACCTTCCACGTCCCCCTTGCCTGGCTCTCCAGAACTAGAATCTCTTCCTTCCTAACAAACCTTCTCACCTCAGCCCAGCCTCCCTCTCTATCTGTGGACTCCTCGATGCCCCCTCCCTGTTTAGTCAGGCTTCAGGAAAGAAACTTTATTCCTTCCCTTGCACGCGCGCGCGCACACACACACACACACACACACACACACACAGAGCAATCTGGCTTCTGCTTCCACATGTCACAGACACCAAAGCTCTCTCTAAGGGCTCCAGCAACCTCCTCATTTCCCAAAGATCCCTCCAGACATTGTCTTACTTGACTTTGCTCACTGTGGCACTCTCGACCACTCCATGCTCCTGGAAAGTCCTCTTTGGCCTTTATAACATCTCTCTCTCCTGGTTTTCCTCTTATCTCACTTGCCTCTCCTCTCTAGGTTCCTTCCCACATTCTTTTTCTATCATCTGCCTCATGAACACAAATGATTCCAGCCTTCATCTCTGGTCCCTTTCACGTCTCACCCCTCCCTGTCACTCTTCCTGGGTCTTCTTATCAGGTCAGGTATGCCTAATGCACTAAAATTCCCATAATCTCCATGTGGGAACAAGATTCCTATTTCTAAATACCTACTGGAACTTTCTTTGGTGTTCCTCAGGCATCTCATGCTCTATGCTGAAAGTTCATCTCTCAGAAAACCTGCTCCCTAGGCTGACAAAGGCAAGGTGGGGAAAAAGAGAAAGGAAACTTACTCCTTACGCTATTTCCCATTCCAGTTGGCCAAGCCAAAACCTCAGGTATGGGCCGGCCCGGTGGCGCACTGCTACAGTGCACCGCTTGGGAGCATGGCGGCGCTCCCGCCGAGGGTTCGGATCCCACATACAGACTGGTTCCCGCTCACTGGCTGAGCGAGGTGTGGGCGCAGCACCGAGGGTTGCGATCCCGTTGCCGGTCCCGGTCCGGTCCGGGCGCGACACTGAGGGTTGCAATCCGTTGCCGGACACGAAAAAAGACAAATGGAAAAAAAAAAAAAAACCTCAGGTATCACAAATGTTCCTCTCTCCTCCCCATCACCCAATCAGTTCTGCTTACATTCTCCCCAGATCTTACCCTCCCTGCCTCCTCCCTGCAGGCAGAGTGACTTTTGTTTCTTGGGTTTTTTAAATTTGTTTTTTCAGAGTGACCTTTCTAACACAAAAATCTAATCGTGTCTGCCCCTCGTTTAAACATTCACTGGCTCCTTTCTATTTCCAGAATAAAGTTCAAATTCAGTAGGCTACCATTTAATAATTCAGTAGGCCACCTACATAATTTCATCCCTTCTGCCTCTCAGTTTCCTATCTGTCCCAGTATTCTCTATATTCAGTAATAGTATTACTACTAAATAATAATAACCAATTTACTGAGCACTTACTATGTGCCAAGTACTGATAAGCAGGTTATATTTATCACCTCCTTTAACCCTTACACCAGTCTTATGAGTTAGGTACTATTATTCTCCCCATTTGACAGATGGGCGCACCAAAGCCTAGAGAAATTGACTGTCTTGTCTAAGGTCACACAGCCTGTACATGGTGAGCTAGGATTGAATCCAGGCAGTCACCTGTGCCAGATGGCCTCAAACCATACAGCCACACTGCTCCCTGCATGCCTTGCTCTCATGCTTCTGTGGTTTTTGCATATGCTCTTCCCTCTGCCTGGAATGCCTGATCCTAGATCCTGAAAATTTGATACCTTGTAGGCCAAGCTCAGCTGGCATCTGCTTTTGAAAAGTCCATGTGTTTTGGACCTGTGGTTTTTGAGAGACCTCTAGATGTCCAGGCTGCTGGAAATCAGGGTCTAGACCTGTATCATCCAATATGGTGGCCACTAACTACATGTGGCTATTATGCACTTAAAATGTGGCTAGTTGAAATTGAGATCTGCTGTAAGTGTAAAATACACACCAGGTTTCAAAGACATAGAAGGAATAAGAGAATGTCAAATATCTTATTAATTTTATATTGACTACATGTTGAAATGTTAGTATTTTGGATATATGGGTTAAATTATTTGAATTATTAAATAATTAATGATTAAAATATTAAATTATTAAAATTAATTTCACCTGTTGCTTTTTGCTTTTTTAATGAGGCCACTAGAAAACTTTAAATTACATACGTGGCTCATATTTTATTTCCCCTTGGACAGCTCTGTACTAGACTTCGTAAAAGAGAAAACCTAGAGAATTGTGGGAGTGAGGGCTGCAGTTGAATACATCAGTGGATGAAGCCCCCAGGAGAGGGTGCAGGATGAGAAGGCAGCCAGGAGCTGAATCGAGAGCCACAGATCAGCACTCATGGGTGGGCGTTAGAAACTTCAGCTGATGGAGCTGGCCGGTTAGCTCAGTCGGTTAGAGTGTAGCTTTAGAACATGAAGGTCAAGGGTATGGATCCCCGTACCAGCCAGCTGCCAAAAAAAGAAAGAAAGAAAGGAAGAAGGAAACTCAGCTGGAGAAAGTGTTTAAGTGGAAGAAGAACAAAGAGAGAATGTACCACAGACACCAGGGAGAAACAGTTTCCCAAGGAGGGTGTGGTCCACACTGCCACGTGCAGCCTCTGGGTCAAGTGTGTGAAGGCCTAGAAAGCATCCCTTTGGCCCAGCGGTCATTAGTAATGTGGTGTGCACTGTGTCATCAGACCGTGGGGACAGAAGCCAGGTCCCAGAGATTGAGAGGTGAGTAGGTGATGAGGAAGAGCTGAAACATACCAGTGTAGATACCTCTTTGAGAACTTGCCTGAGGAGGGAGGGAGAGAAAGCATGATAAATGAAGGGGCTTACAGGGAGAAGGGAGGGATCTTTCATCTTGTGTTTTTTTTTTTTTTTTTTNCGCTCAGCCAGTGAGCGGGAACCGGTCTGTACGTGGGATCCGAACCCTTGGCGGGAGCGCAACCATGCTCCCAAGCGGCACACTGTAGCAGTGCACCACCGGGCCGGCCCCCTCATCTTGTGTTGTTTTAAGTGGAGAGACTTTAATAAGTTCATAGGTTGAGAGAGTGACAGCCCGAAGATAAAGGAGAAAAGGACAGAGCAAAGAACCTGATTAGGATGGAGAGCTGGATTGGTACAGAAGTGGAGGTGGAGGGGTCCTTCGGGAAGGAAGGGACCCAACCCCAGCTAAGGGGAGATGTGTGGATGCACAGGGAGATAATGGCTGTGGTGGTGAGAGGGATGGGGTGAAGAGCTGGATACAGGAAGCCAACCACATGATTTTCTTTGCCAAGCAGGAGATCATGCCATTTGCTGATAAACAAACAAACAAGACAGGCGGAGTACAGAGCAGCTTCGGTGAAGTCTGCGAAATGTGAAATAGCCCAAATAGGGATCGCAAACCTCGGTGTTGCGGCCGCACCTCGCTCAGCCAGTGAGCGGGAACCGGTCTGTACGTGGGATCCGAACCCTTGGCGGGAGCGCAACCATGCTCCCAAGCGGCACACTGTAGCAGTGCACCACCGGGCCGGCCCCCTCATCTTGTGTTGTTTTAAGTGGAGAGACTTTAATAAGTTCATAGGCTGAGAGAGTGACAGCCCGAAGATAAAGGAGAAAAGGACAGAGCAAAGAACCTGATTAGGGTGGAGAGCTGGATTGGTACAGAAGTGGAGGTGGAGGGGTCCTTCGGGAAGGAAGGGACCCAACCCCAGCTAAGGGGAGATGTGTGGATGCACAGGGAGGTAATGGGTGTGGTGGTGAGAGGGATGGGGCGAAGAGCTGGATACAGGAAGCCAACCACATGATTTTCTTTGCCAAGCAGGAGATCATGCCATTTGCTGATAAACAAACAAACAAGACAGGCGGAGTACAGAGCAGCTTCGGTGAAGTCTGCGAAATGTGAAATAGCCCAAATAGGGAAGGCAGTTGAACAGTACACACTGCATTCTTTAGGTGCAGGGAAGCCCAGAGATGGACTGGCAGAGGGTCCAGGATAGGATGCAGCAGGAGAGGACAGGAACAGAGGGGGTGGGGTGGGGAGTGAAGCCAGGGCAGGCGGGCAGGCTAGGGTAGCCAGGAGGTGGAGGGACTGGAGCAGACATGGAAGGTCTGAAGACTGAGGGTCTCCCATTTTGATTCTCCCCATTTAAAAACCATTTGCTACAAATAATGGATGAGTGAATGAACCGCACATGATCTCCTCTGTCAGCGTTGCCAACTGGGAGCCCATGCATCTAATCCATCCAGCACTCATGTTTTGTTTGGATAACTTAGTTTTTTGTTTTTTGTTTTTTTTCTTTTTTGTCTTTTTTACTGACGGGTAACAGGATCGCAACCCTCAGTGTCGCGCCGTTGTTTTTTGTTTTTTTTCTTTTTTGTCTTTTTTACTGACGGGTAACAGGATCGCAACCCTCGGTGTCGCGCCGGCACCGCGCTCAACCAGTGAGCGGGAACTGGTCTCCACATGGGATCCAAACCCTCGGCGGGAGCACTGCCGCACTCTCAAGCGGCGCACTCTCCAGTGCACCACCGGGCCGGCCCTGGATAACTTAGTTTTGAAGACCAGAAGTTTCAGCTTCTCTTGAAAAACGAGAAGCTCAGGCAACGCTGGCCTGTATTCAACCCTCCATGGCAGCAGTCAGCTGGAGTAGCGGCAGCCACGTATATACCCTTACACAGATTGGCACTCTGTAGTTAGCCAAAGTCCCTACGAGCCTGAGTTGACCCTCTCTTGGCCTCCGTGGATGTGTTTGCAACCCTTGTCCTATGGCTCACGTGTACAGCTGGTTTTGAGGGCCCTGATGGCTCTTGTCCCTCCCCTCCCTGGTCAATGAATGTGGGCCAACCCATCAAAGTTCCCCCAACAGCCAGGAGGCCAGCTCCGAGGACAATGCCCCTGGAGGTTGCAGAATGGTTCTCCACTTCTCTTGTCCTGCCACAATAAATGGGGCCCAGGGTCACACCAGCTTTTTTGGCAAAACCTTCACCCTGATGACTCACTGAGCTTCCTATTAACTGAAAAATCCCCCACTTCTTGGCACAGGCCCAATAACTAAAAATAACAACACAATGTCCTGTATGAGTTTAAATCTCACAAGTTCTTTTACACACATTGCTTCCCTTTAATCCTCACAGCAAATTTGTGAAGCAAATGTTTTTGCTCCCATTCTACTGGTGGAGAAACTGGGTCATGAACAACCCAAAGCCTGAAAGTGAGGGTCTTATCCCAGTTGGGGGAGAGTTAACAAGCCAGCATTGTGGAAAGCCTGCCATATCTAAGCTAAGAGACGGAGCATAAAGTTAAAGGTCATAGAGTTAAAAGTCAGGACTGTGATATTAGATTGGACTGGATTAATCTTGAATTGAGGCAAGTGACTTATTCTCATGGAGGCTCCGTTTCCCCATCTGTGAAACAGGGACAATAATAGTGCCTACCCCACAGGGCCATTATGAGGATTCAGGAAGATGCTGCATATAAGGGACTTAGCATCACGGTGCCTGGTATGCAGTAGGTGCTCAATAATAATCTCAATATAAGAAAGAGAAACAGATGTGGGCATGTATCAGTGCATGTGAATGGTGCCTGCTTTCCTCCCTCTTGGAGGAGGCACCCTCCTGCCTCCGAGGTTCCAAGGTTTAACAGCCCTCATAGGGCTGTAGTGTCTTGTCATAAGTGAGTTACAGTACTTTGCCCTGGGTTAAGAGAGACAGGATCCAGCTGCTGTCCTCACAGCTCAGGAGGCCAGGTAATGGAGGAGGGGGAGAGGGCAGGAGGCAGGGAGGAGAGAGCAACTGAGAGCCCTTGTCATAATAACAAGGGACCAACACATGTGAACTACATGTGCACCGGATGCTGGCACTTGGCCTTCTTCACACAAGCCTGCCAGCTTGATGTCAGTGTCCATGTGTATCAACAAGGAGCTCAAAGAGCCTCTCGCACCCCTACTTCCTCTGGCATGCTCCTGGCCGCCTTTGCTTACCTTCCCACAGTCTGCCCCTGATTTTCCTGGCCCTGGACCCTCCACAAGATGCAACAAGCATGGTTGCAGGTCCTGTTAAGGGCAAAGGCTTGCTGAGGTAAGTGGCAAGGCTGAGGCAGGTGGGAGGAGAGGGGGATTCCAAGAAACCTCTCTTCCCACCTATGGTCTGGTTTCTGTCCCAGTCACACGCTAATGAAGAGCCCTTGCCAAAGGTAACCACTGGCCTCCCTGTTGCCGAGCCCTTGGGACCCTTGTCAGTGCTCACTTTATTTGGCCGTCTGCAAGTTCCCACACTGCTGACCGCTCCCTCCCTGTGGAACCACTGCCCCCTTCTCTAACATGGTCCCACCTAGTTCTCCTCCCACCTCTCTCACCACTCCTTCTCAGGCCTCAGCTCTGTTCTCAGTCCTCAATTGATTGTTTTTCTCTTTCTATACACTCTCTCTAGACAACTTTTATAACCACGACCCACATTCTGATGAATGCCAACTCTTTCCTTCCAGTCCAAGCCTGTCCTGAGCTCCAGACCCCTATATTGAGCTATCTCCTGGATTTCTCCACTGTTATCTCACTGATCATGTCCAAACCGCCCTCAGCTCTTGTCCCATGCTCCAGGATGGCTCATCAGCACTTACCCAACATCTGTTGCTTGCAAAGTCTCCTTGATTCCATTATCTACCACTCTCTCAAACATGTACTTTCTTCTCCATCCCAGACCAGTCACTAGATCATTACAACAGCCTCTTTACTGGCTCCCCACCTTCCGGCCTTGCCTGTCCTGCTTGGGCTCCACACTGCACACAGAACTACCTTCTAAAATCCAGATCTAACAATTACCACTCCACTGCTTGATAACCTTCAATGTCTGCCCATTGCCCTCAGGATTAATTGTCAGAGCCTGACATTCAAAGTTCTCTTCAGGGCCGGCCCAGTGGCGCACTGCTACAGTGCGCCGCTTGGGAGCGCAGCAGCCCTCCGGCCGAGGGTTCGGATCCCACATACAGACCGGTTCCCGCTCACTGGCTGAGCGAGGTGCGGGTGCAGCACCGAGGGTTGCGATCCCGTTGCCGGTCCCGGTCCGGTACGGGTGCGACACTGAGGGTTGCGATCCGTTGCCGGACACACACACACACAAAAAAAACAAAATTCTCTTCAATCTCTTTACCCTAGTTTCCCTTCTCCCCACTTCTAACCATGCCCTCTGACCACCCAGCCCATG